GAACGCTGCAAGTTGAAGCACTTCCCTCTCACGCTCTTCGGGACGGCAGCCTCTGCTCGCAGGGCTCCCGCTGGAGTTGGAAGGCAAAGCTCCTGAGGAGGCGTTTTCTAAACTGGCATTATGTGGAAGCTCCAGTAATTTCATAGCTTACCTTGAGCAGCAAGGGCTCATCTGCCTTTGTCTGGCTGCCTGGGACCTGGGATGGGAGCTCCTGAACGAAATCACTTTTGCAGCCAATGTTCTCATTGCCTCCCACCTCCCCAAGCCCTGAGCAAATCCAGCCCTTTCCAAAACCACTCAAAAACGCTCCTGGATCATGTTTCACATCTTCAGATGAACACACCTGGCTGTACTTGAGTAATCCTCTCCCCTCCATGGCCTGAGGAAGCCCTCCGGAGCGGTGGGTCTGGGATCCCAGGTTGTAAGCTGCATCCTCCCTGGGGACAGGGCAGATGTGAAATATCAAAAGCAGATATTAGCCATCGTGAAGAGGATGAGAGAGGGAGTGCCAGTCCCTGCATGAGCCCTCACGGTGGAGCGTGGTGATTACTGCTGTTGGCCACTCCTCTTGAGTGCATCTGTCTGTTGCTTTTGCCTGGTTTTCTCTTAATGTCACCTGTCATATCATTGCTGTTTTTAATAAGTATATCCCAAGCCCCTTGCACATTTTGCATGCTCCAGGTTCCCATAATTTCATGGCGGATTTTCCTCACGGCTCCTAGAGCGCCCCTGTCGCTCGTCACTGAGCTGCTGCTGCTGCTCCCGCTGCTCAGGGACCCGCAATTCCCTCCTTCCCGCGGGGCCGGTGCCGGCCGTGCCGGTGCTGCCGGCCGCCCTGCTTGCCGGGGCTGCTCGGAGGGGCCTGTTCTTCTCCGCACTAGCAGGGGGAGGCAGCAACACTTGGCTTAATCAGTTTGTCACTCCTCATTCACTCCTAACACGGGATGTTCCTGCGGGGGTTGGAGCCCGTCCCTTGGGAGATGCGGGGGCCACAAGGACAGCGGCCGTGAGCCAGGGCCAGCGGTTCGGGTGATTGACCCAAACTGGCCAGGGCCAGCGGGTGATCACAACTCCAACATCAGCAAACGAGGATACCTTGCAGCGCTGCTAGGAATTGGAAAGCTCACTTGATAAAATACAGTCTCCTCTAGTGCTGGCACAGTGTCTGCTTCGGAAAAGCTCAGCTCTGAGGGCAGCTGTTTGCTTGTTAGTGTGAGGGGAATGTGAGGCTGCTGAGAACGAAGCTGCTTCTAGAAGTGTTCTACAGGAAAAGTTCCAGCAGGCTCTGCAGCAGAAGGGAGGCCTGGTGTTTATGTGGAGGCATTTCGTGTTCTTGCAGTCAGCCTAGTGAATGGAAAAAAACTTGTGGAGCGTATTCAGGGAAGGACTACTCTCCTTTCTGCCTCCTTTTAAGCTGTTTCAGTTGTTTGCATCTGAAATGCTTGTTCTTCTGACACAGGAAATCTGAACATAATGGCCAAAAAATGCTTTCAGAGGCAAAAAGCAAAATTTACCGCAGTGCAGGCTTTCCCTGCCCATCCTGGCTGTTCGGAGGATGAAGACAGTCCCGTCTGGTTATCCTCAGGAACAGAAGTGTGGCAGCTATTGGAGACAACAGCTGCTGTTTCTCACTGTGCTTCTTTGTGTAACCCAGGGGATTTTTTTTTTCCTTCATTGTATAAAGTGGAGATAACTTCCTATGGAGCAGCTGGCTGTGCTGCCGGCGCTGCTCCTTCCCGAGCACCAGGGTTGTCCTCCAAGGTGCAACTGGTTCGTGCTGCCGGTGGTGGCTGCTGCGGAAAAGGCGTAGGATGAGAGTGGCGGGGCTGGGCTGCCGTTGGGTGCTCACATCTAATCTCCTCCTGCCTCTACAACGACCCGGGGGTTGCTGCTGTTCCCCTGCTAAGATGACTGCTCGCAGCACTTCCTGAAAAGGAAACATACCTACAAAACACCGTTAATCTGGAAAAGTCACTGTAGGAATCCTTGTTCTTCCCTGTTCAGTGCGTCCTGGAATTGAAACGTAGAGTTAATGTGCATGGCATTTTAACTGGCTCTCTCTTCTTGTGCCATTACCACAGTTATTACATTTCCTAGAGCAGCATTCTTTTTTTTCTATTTCTTTAATTAGAGTCGTGATTCCCGTTTCTTGCATTGTAGGGACCAGCAGCACTAACACGGTCGGGGCTACAGTGAACAGCCAGGCGCCGCAGCCTCAGCCTCCCGCTATCGCCTCTAGCCGGAAAGGGACCTTCACGGACGACCTGCACAAGCTGGTAGATAACTGGGCCCGAGATGCCATGAACCTGTCTGGCAAGAAAGCTGGCAAAGGGCATAGCAACTACGAGGTAAGGCTTAACCCGCGCGCACGGCCGGCGCCGCTGCTGTCGCTGCGCTGCGTCAGGGGCCAACCGCAGCGAGGGGAGAGCGCCCGTGTCGCCCGGGCAGCTGCCCCAGGAAGGCGCTGGCTTTGTCCTTCACGTGTGGGGTTGTGGCCCCTGCTGTGGAAGGGAATGGGCTGAGCAGGGAGAAGGAGGTCCGCACCACGTATGTGTGCTGTGGCCTGCGGGCCAGGCGGGTTGCCTGCGTGTTTAAGCAGTTGAATAACTTCTTTTGGGGGCTGGCTTTTCTTTCAGGGCCCTGGAATGGCAAGAAAATTCTCGGCGCCAGGTCAGCTCTGTATCTCTATGACATCTTCCCTGGGTGCTACGCCCATCTCTGCAGCCTCAGCTACCTCTTTAGGTCCCTTCCCAAAGGCCATGTGCCCTCCGCAGCAGTACGGTTACCCAGCAGCATCTTTCGCAGCTCCGTGGAGCGGGACAGGGGGGCCAGCACAGCAGCCACTTGGCCAGTTCCAGCCCGTAGGTGCCGCCTCTTTGCAGAGCTTCAACATCAGCAATCTGCAGAAATCTATCAGCAACCCCCCAGGCTCCAACCTGCGGACCACTTAGCCACGCTCGGAGCCCACGCTGGCTAGACCCTGGGGCAGGACATGGGGAGGGAGATGGGGCCCGGTGTCAACGACTAGTGCTGCAATGAACTGGTAGCTTGCCAGACTGGGAATGAATTTCTCTTTTCCAACCATTGCTGTCAGCTCTGTGTAAAGGGAGCTTCCCCACACGCTTGCAAGGGGGAGGAGGCCGATGAGCCATCCTTGCGATGGGACAGTGCTTGTGGCTGAGTGGTCCTGCTCTCGTGCGGAAGGAGAGCTGCGAAGATGAGTCACGGGGTCAGTTGACGCAGTCTCGCTGTAAAACTCCCCTGTGGTTGGAGGCTGAATCCACACGTGTTGAGGTGGGAGAGGTGAATCCTAGCATGAGGCTTTAGCACGCTTCCCATCTCTCCCTGAAGAACCAAGACCAGGAGAAAAGCTGTCCAAATCCCCCTCCTCTCCCTCTCCCCAAACAATCGTATTTGGCTCCAGAACGATGGGGCACACGAATGGACTTGCAGTGCAGCCCGTGCTTGATAGGTCATTACTGCTTTAAGTAAGATATTAACAGCTTTGACTGCAGCATTAGAGCAATTTAAATTGTTTAAAAATTTTAAAAGTTCCCTGCGGACATGTACTTACCATCAGTTTTGATGTGGAAACACTGTGATATATAAATGTTGTTGGACAACAGTAGTTTAAAAATGAGTGGAATATAGAGGGTTAAAAAAGTTAAAAAGAAAAAATGGAAAAAAAGCTAGCTATATCCTTATACTTATTGGAGACACTTTAACTTTTTCCTTTGTATTTTCATTGTATTAGATAAATAAATGTGAATGTAAAATTGTATAAATTAATGTACTTGAATACTTGTCTGTTCTCCCAGTATGCTTGCTGGATATTTTAGTGCCTTGGACTTCTCTTGCTTCTGCAGTTAGCATCATCTTCCCAGCAGGACCCCCAGGTGGACAGAGGGCAAGTTCAGAGCAGGACGGACGTGTGCCTAGCGCCTGAGACACTGAAGAGCGACCGCTTGGCTTGGTGTCGGCTTTTAGCGTTGCTGCAACTGGCTGGAGTAGGTGTTTGGAGGGGGAAGTCACTGAGGCTGTAGGTTGGAACCGAGTTCAGAGCGGAGGGGAGCCGTGGACGACCAAGCGCGCGGATCTCGAGGGCCGGTGCGCGGAGGAGCAGCCCGGGGGCGCTGAGCGGTCTCGTCTAAAGAGCGGAGAGGTCTGGAGCAGGAGGAGCAGGGAGGACGGGGAGCGCGCGTCTTGGGAAAGGGCCGCCTTCCCGTGAGGCTTGGACTCCACCTGGGACGTGGGGAAAATGTTTGGTCAGGATGTGGTTTGAGGGAGAGGTGTCGTTGCTTGTTGGTGTGGGCCCGTCTGCTGGGATTGCTTTTCTTCTTTTTGTTTTGTTTTGTTTTTTTTTCTTTCTCTTAATTCATTAAAGCCAGGACTAGAGTGTCCTGGCGCAACGTCCATTGCCGGCAATGGATGCACTTGGAACAGCCGGCATTGAGAAGTTTCCTCTGTCTTATTTGGAGGATTTATCATTTTGTTCATTTAAAAGAATTTCAAACTGGTACCAGGACTGTAACCAACTGTCACCTCTTAGTAACTGTACTGTACCTTCTGCTTTAGTCATTTTCCCTTTTCGTATTTAAAAATACTGGTTCCCTCTTCAAAGTAAAAATAATACCGACCAGTATTTACGTAGTGCTGCGAAAAGCTGCGAAGGGTCAAGGTGCTGCTTCCCGGGGCTCGGGAGCAGCTCGGGCGCATCCTGGGAGCCGGGGCACCAGGGAGATGTTACTTGCCCGGCCCGTCTCCTGGGAGCGCCGCGTCCTGGCGGAGCCTGCAGCGGGACGCGCTCTGTCTCTGGGCGTTGAAAAGCCAGAGCGCCGGGGCCGCTGGTTTGTGTCGCGTTTCTTTTGCCCAGCAGCGGTTTTGGGGGCACGGACGGGCACGAGCGAGAGGCCGGGTCTGAGGGCTCAGGCCGGCGGCCGGGGCGGCTCCCGGGCTGTGGGGTTGGCGCTGCGGGGACCAGAGCTGCCGCCCCAGAGCAGAGGCCCGTTAGGTGCCAGCGTGGGGGAGAGGCAGGACGCGCGGCAGGGAGAGGTCCCTGCTGCCGCCCTGGAGCAGGAGCAGGAGCAGAAACGGGAGCGCTCGGGCTTGGGCCGGGTGGCGGCGAGAGGAGCTGCGGGGCTCCAGCAGGGCAGGCTCCGCGCAAGGGAGCGCCGACAAACCCGAGGCAGTAAGGCAACAAGGGGAGTGTTTCCTGGCAGGGGAACTGATCAGCTCAATGCAGCACGTGGTTATTTAATTTTGATCTAGTAGGTTTGAAGTCGTTTTTCACTTAATGTTATGCAAGAACTGGTTTTATTTACCATTGATTTTTTTTTTCCTTCCCTCCTGTGGATGAATTACTGAAGTCTAGAGGAATAAACTAATGCTACTGAACTGTTAAATTATTTTGTTTAATATTACACTTTGAGTATCTTTTTCCACATAAAATCTGTTTCTGAATTACAAGCGTTTTCTTTACATTATTTAACAATGTACACTGTAAAAAAAAATTAAAAAAATAAAATGAATTCAAACTTTGGGCTTCCCTGGCCGTAGTTAGTTGTATGTTTTGCACTAAAACCAGGCATTGCGCTTCTTGTATGACTGCGCTTTGTGCTGCAATTTGTTACCTTTGTAGAATATTTAATGAAATCATTCAAATAAACCAAACCTGCTTTTGTTGAGCTGTGGGTTTTCTTGTTGAGCAGCAGGTTCCAACCTCACCTTCCTGTTCATGGAGTGGTTTTAACTGCCTGTTACCCCATTTATCAGAGGAAAGTACAAGAAACCCATTTTAATGTGATCCTTAACTTCTCAAAAGCAGTTGTCAGTAGCGAGTCTTTGACCTTTTAACAGGATATTCTGAAGCAAGAAACTACAAAGAATTGTTCATAGAATGAATTTTCGTTATGAAAGGATGAACCTAAATGTGTAAGGGAAGAAGGCGGAGGATAACGTGAGGCGTAGTAGTACGGGTGCTGGCGTGGCTGACGCTTGTGAAGTTACCGAAGAGCAGTGAAATGTGCTTAAATCTGGGGTCAAAAACGGGGCAGGTGTCCCGGTTTGAAACGGAGGGAGGTGCTACCTTGCAGGAGCTCTCTGCTTCCTTTGGGTCTGGGAAAGCCGCCCTCGCACCCCCCTGCCCACAGTCCGGCTTCTCGTCCGCTGCTGTTCTTCTCTCGGGAGAGAGGAAAAGGGGGTGCACCAGGAACTCTGCAGCAGAGATCTAATAGGAATTCCAACCCCCAATCTATGGGGCATCTACCCTACGGGCAGATAATAGGAAGAGTCAAACTACGTTACAGGGTCGTTCTCAAGCAGCTGGGGAGTTGCAAGAATTACTTGGCATTTCTAAACACTAATTACTGCTGCATTTCTTTCCATTTTAAGAACAGCTTCTGTTATGACTCATGCTGCTGAAGTCCTTAAAGGGGGAAAAAAAGTGTTTGCTGCTTTTTTTTTTTTAATTTAAAAAAGGGACATGCCCTGAGAGGTGGATTTCAGGGAGTTCTTTTAAAGGAAGCTCATCCATGTTTGCCCTGTTTCTGGAGAGAGCTGTTGTTTGGAGCACATGGGACTTCTTAAATTTTTCTTGAAAGAGTTTGGCAGTGCTTCGTTGGTCTGTACTGTCTGCACATTCCCTTCCTAACAGGTATCTTGTTTCATCTGTCAGTCTACGACTTGAGGATGTGGAATGTGGGTTTTTTTTCTTCCTTTTTTCCCCAGAGCTGTTCTGAACTGGCCACTGAGTTAGAGAGAAATGAATTTGGTGAAATGTAAAACTATTTTCTAGGTGGCTTCTGACCATGTGACCTGTTACATATAATTATAATTTGTCCTGTCTTTAGCTACTAAATATAATCCTTGGTTTTTTGTTCTGTTTGGGAAGTAGGGGAATAGTAGGAAATCTTTGAAAAACACCTGGTTAAGAGGTGGAAGGAAAATGTAAGGTCTTTAGGAAAGCAGGCAAGCAACAAAAGTAAATTCTTAATGCCTCAAATATATCGACATTTAGATTGCTTGACCAGAGATGAAAAAGCACAGGAACAAGGTCTTGTTTCAAGTCTGACACTGACTTCAGGGTTGGAAGAATCAGCCTTTGTGTAAGTAACTCTTCAGGGTTTGGCTCTCCGTGGATGTTGCACCCTGTCTCACGTCCTCACAAGAAGGCAGAGAGAAATCCAGAACTGTCCATCAGGATCTGGGATAGTTCTCAGATGATATCTATTTTTTGTCACCTTTCCTTCCACCTTCTTACTAAAGGAGCAGCAGGTGCTTTGCTAAAAACTCCCTTTGAACGTTCTTCCTACTTGCTGCCCGCATTAAAAGAAAGGCAGTGAGAGCCCTTAGCTTCCTAATTGTACCTACGCAGAGGGTGTTAATTTTTTGGAGCCTGTCAAACAGAAATGGAGGTGCAATGGTTTGAACAGCACTGAGTCATGAAGAGCTTCAGCTGGGATTTGTTTCCCAAGGTTCATGTTTATTTTAATATTAAAAAGCACCAAAAGCTTCTCTAAAAGCTCCAAGGAACAAAACGGCGACTCCGGCAGTGAGAGCCCTTCCCGCAGCCCCGGTGCTGCCTCCTGCCCCTGTGCTGCCCCCGGGCCTCACAGAGCGGGCGGGCGCAGCCCCTGCGCCTGCCATGGTGCCTCAATCCCCTTTCTCCCTGCTCCGCTGAAAAACAGTTTCCTCTCTGCTGGAATGCAACGCTGAGGAAGAAAGGGGAGTGACTTGCATCTCATACCAAGGATGAACTCTGCTGTCATTTCAGGCAAGTTAATTGTAACTTCCGTGTGTGACACAGCCACAGAGCTAGAGCTTCAGAAGCACTAACGATTGCTCGTTTATAGAAAAAGGAATTTGAAATATTTTAATGACCTCAAAGTCCATTAAGGTCTTCATAGTAGGTTGTATAAATGCTCTTCTGTGTTGCATCATCAGAAAATCCATTAATGTGCTATTTCCCCACATAATTTGAACGGCCAACCACGGTCCCTTGGTACAGTCCAGTGTCTAGGTCGTGATACCACCAGGTGTCCTACGTAGGTTCTAGTCTCCGTTTCTTCAAGCTTTGACTTCTGCGTGGGCTGCGTGTTGCTAAACAGGGAGACAGTGAGAAATGGAAAATTCTTAAAGATTTTCTCTGCTGCCAAAAGTGCTCTTCAGCTTGATTTTGTTTTTTCTCTAGCTCCTCTTTGAAAGTATCATTAAATGGAGAAGAGGATAGTTCTCCTACTGTCACAGTACTCCGCACACAGGGTCTCCCACTCCAGTTTGCCAATCTAACCGTGATCCCGTCAAAGCCAAGTGCCACTGCTAAGACAGAAATCGTGTCATTGGCTCCCACTTTTTTGGTAGCACGTACCTAAATCAGGCCAGCTGGCACAGTGGCTCCGGCTCACGAGGTTAGTAGATGGCTGCAGTTGGGCGAGCCTTGCGGCAGCCCTGTGATAATTGGCTCTCTGAGGCGTCCTGTTACGTGTAGTCATGTGGTGATGCCCGAGGGGCGTTTCGGGAGCCTGGCATCCAGCTGACTGGCCTGCCATTTTGTGGCCCACTGTCTTCAGGTCAGCGCTCTCCAAGGAAATATCCCAAAGTTCGGGGTCATCTAGAATGAATGGATAATCAAATTAAACATGAAACTATGTAGCATGGTATTAATACAAGCTAATATAAAGAAATCAATATACTTTTGGGTCATTAAAATGTTTCAAAGGCCTTTCTCTCTTCTGATAATGATGGCCAGTCTAAAAGTTAAACTGTACACATCATCTATGTCACTGCATAACAGGAAAATTATGCAAGAAAAAAACACTGCTCCATACCATGAGAATGGGGGCAGATAAGCTGGCATTCCCCCTTGTGCTCTGGAGTTAAGCAGTGTCAGGGTTCCACACTGCAAGTGTGACGCAAATAGCCATAGCTACATTAAGGAGATAACCCTCCCCTTAAATGTTACTTCAGGAAAAAAGGTTCACCACATACATATTTATATATTTTACATATATAACATATATATATATACACACACACACACATATATTTATATATGGTATATTTATACCAAATAGGTATAACAACTCTGTACTAAAGAAGGTAGCATGAAAGCCTTCCTAGTGATGGAAATCTGCCCCTCTCCTACACATTTTAATATCATTTTTCTGCCACTTAAGTAGTGCTAGTATTTCTGGGCTAACAATATTCATGCCTCTATTACTCCAGTCTCTTCATAAATGTTGCCTTCAGACTCTAAAGAGCCTATTTAAATGCTAATTAACTTAACATTTTGTTATCGCTCATCAGTTTTTGGCTGACCTGCGAAGAATTCTTCTTCTATTGCTAGTTCCTGTGGTGCTGTTGTTGGAGTGCTGTGCTTTACAGGAGGATCGGATGTTGCTGGACAAAGATAACACAACATTTTAATGATGGAACGACAGAAATGCCCTTTCCCTTCTTTAAGGGACCATGGATCTGAGACAATAAGCAGCAACTGCTGCTGTGTACCCTCTTCCCTCAAAGCTGGTTCTTATCCGTTGGCCACAGTACATGGCGTGGCAAGATGAAGATTGGTAAGAGCAATGGCACTAATTTAAACCGGTTTTGGCCTGTTTATACCCCCGTCCCCCAGTTTCTGCTTTCAACACAGCTGTCCAGATATCCCCATGAGTAAAACGCAACATATCAGTAGCTAATACCATGGTTGTTTGTCTGCAATTGCCTTGGTGCAGAGCTGCAACCTCAGCCGGGGTGCAGTACAGCTGTGCTACATGATGCTCTAGGGTGCAGGGTGGATCTAGTTTAATGATGCTGTTCTTGAGCACACGTTTTTTCCACAAAAAGGTCAGGCTCCTACACTGAGGATAATATGTTCCTGCCAGTATCTATCATTACAACTGTTAATTTTTAATGCCAAGCTTACCCTGTTTGCTGTCTGGAACTAAGAGAACCTGCTGCTTTTTCTCCATCTGTTCCCGGAACTGCTGCTGCAGCTGCTTTTGTCGCAATTTCCGCTGGTAAGTAGCATCACACTCCACAGCTGGGGCGTCTGTAGTTCTGCACCTCCCCAAAGAAGCACAAGGTTGAATAGGATTTCAGCGGTTACCACTTACAGAGAAGAAATACATAAAGAAGAGCAAGGAAAATCTAATAAATCGGTGTTTTGTAGCATCTTCCAAATTGGGCTCTCCATGTGTTTTAAGTGGGGAAGTAACTTTAACACACCTTTTAAAATACACTCACAGTATAGTCCTACCTGGAACAACTTGGCTGCTTTTGATCTTCAGCACCTGTGGATGCCTCCATCTGACCAGGTTTACAAGAAGATGCTGTCTCATCCTGTTGTCTCCATCCTGTGCTCTGCCTTTCCAAACAGCTATTGTATCTTGCTCTCTCTATTTCAGGCTCGTAGTCCTGTCTTTTAGCCTTGACCAAATCCAACTCAGCTGGCATCTAAGAAAGGAATAAAGGAATAAAGGAATTTGGAGTTTCCTTCATTAACCTAATGAAACATGCAGAGTTGTGTCACTGACTTGGTCACTAACTTCATACACCTCTGAGTTAGTTTACACTGCTGGCTCAGGGCTTCACACCTGTATTAAAGGCCATGGCCAACCTGATGCTCAGTCCTGTTATCAGGAGGTCACTGAGGGGCGTTTACCCTTCTGTTAGATACAGGATGTTTTGGCTCTGTGATTTTGAAACCTGTGGCAATGCCACTAACAGACAATGTCCCTGGCAAAGCAGAGATCTGCAGCATCTTGACTTGATGAGGCCTCGCTTTGGATCATTTCCTACAATCTAAGTTTGCCAAAAAGAGCAGTGAAAGGAGCTCTAGGCCAATAGCAGAGTTTGCTAAATCCTGGGCTTAAGAAGACCCTATGAAAGTCTATGGGCCATCAAGAGCAAAAGCTTTTCCTTAGTGTGCAAAGCAGATCACCACCTACAAGCCTACGGCCTCCAACTGGCACCCAGCAGGAGCTAAACAGAGAGAGGTTGCTGACGACTTGTGTGCTCTGTTAAAGCGCACACAGAGAGCGTGAGGGATGTGAATGAATGGGGTTAGAGCATGGGAGTCACTGCTGGAGATGAACATCACTGTCCCTGCTCTCTCTAGACCAAAGGAGGCCAGCAGCAAGAGGCATTTCCGCACGGTCTGGTGCTAAGTCTGGCCGAGCACCTCAGGCAGTGCCATTTCGCTGAGTGCTTCATGGAGGACAAGTCACTGCAGCTCTTCCCTAGCAAACTGCAACCTAAAACAGGCAGAGAGTCAGAAAAGCAAAGCTAGAGGTAACGTGGCCTCTTATTGTTTAGTAAAGGTAAGAACCACAGTCACGACAAGGAAAGCAATCTTCAAAGGATGCACTTGGAGATGGTAATTCCTTGTATATTCAGGAGCCACCGTTTGCCAGCAGTATAGCACAAGATATTTAAAACAACACAAAACAGTAGTACAAGTCTTCCTAACTTTATTTTTCACCCTCTAGCAGTTAAATGTAGTATACACTGCTCTCAAAATTTCAATTGCAGATTTTGGGTACCAACACGATTTCAATTCAAGCAGAGGACATTTGCAGGGAGGTGTACACGTATCATGAAGCAACAAAATATACTGTTACCTGTTTTGCTTTTCTGTGGCAAGACTTTGAAGTGACTGGTAACAACTAAAAGCAGTTGTGGGTCTGGTCTAAAAATTCTGGTTCCTCCATTATATACATCTAGTATTTTGCAATGTTCTTTTGGGAGGAGTCCAAGTTGGTTAACTAAAAGTTGAAACCGCCTCCTGAACTTTGCTTGAAACCTCAGTAGGAACATGCTGTTACAGAATAACAAGTATAAAAAAAATGAACTGAATGAAAATTCCAGCACTGAGGGCTGGAATTAGGGATACACTTCAAATCGTGTGAGAAGGTGCTGAGTGTGTCTAGCTACAGATGTGCAGGGAGCCCCTGTGAGGGTTGAACAGAAATTAATAAGAGGACACAGCAACTCAACAGATATGGTGCAATTACTACTGTACAGATTTTGCTTAATCTTAAGCGAAAGTTCTGATTAAAAAAAGCAAGCAGCTTTGGTATGTGAACCACTTAGTATTGTTTCTAAGATATTCTGGGCTATGCACACAGAAAAATTTATCTGAAGGAGGAAGTATTTCCAGCGAAAAGCTTCTGATTTTGACCCAGAAATCCCTAAAGTCTAAAGAACAATCTCCTTTCCTGATATATACAAGCTGTCAATTTTTAGGCTTAAGGTCTAAATGAAAGAGCCCTAATTTTGCAGGAACGCATGCAGGCACTTTACCTGCTTTGGGGTAAGGTACACAGGCTACTGTGATGATCTGTCTGGCTATTCTTCTGCCCTGTCCACAACCTCTAGTTTTATGACATGTTGCAGAAATAGCATGCAGCTATCTTCCTTTTTTATTTTTTTCCCTTTCTTCCTAGAAAAGTCCAATATGGAGACTACGAAAATGACAAATAAGTTAGAGCTTCAGCATAATAAACTGGATCATGCTGCCACCAACAAAAAGAGCAAACCAAGAGAACAGCTGCCTCATCTAAGGCCTTATGCAGGGTAGTAAAGACACTATTTCCTAAAGATTTTCTTACCTCCAACATGCATATATACATTGACAGTGGTATTAGTGCTAATAATATGTATTTAAAGCACAAGTGGCTGGACTAGGCAGATGAGCTCAGTTGCTGCAACTGACAGAGCTTAACTGGCCTTAAAAAGCATAGCATGCACCAAATGGCACCAAGAATAAACTGTTTAATGTTTCTTGTGGTAGCATTTAACCTCTAATGAAAATAGATTTAACTGTACTCCTTACTGGGACTGAACAGAGAAGCTTAGACAACATGGCAATAAATGTCATGAGATCTTGAGTCAGATGCTGCTTCTTCACCTCTGTGACCTTGCCCATTATAACAGTCCAACTTTAGCACAATGTAGTTGTAGTAAAATGTCGAGGAAGAATTCTGCAATATTCTCTTTGTGCAGTCAGACTAGCAGGCAAATAAGGCTATAGCTCTCGCAGTTGGTAATATTCAGGGATGAGACACAAAGATATTTTTATCATTATTTACATTCCTTTTAAGATGATGGACTAGGAACAAGGAACATCTACCAACCCCTGCTTCAAACGTACTGTCCACGTACTGTACCTGGCGTGGAAGCTTATTCACAGCTCGTAGGTAGTCTTTGTCTAGGATGCAGTTCCCAAGAGCATTCCCAAAGCACCTGTGAGACGAGAGCTCATTGTGATTGAAAATACTAAATTCTCACCTCACTTCTGAAAATGTGCAAGTACTGATCTTCACTTACTTGAGCGCCCTCTTCAGTCCATCTGTTACTGCCTCCTTCCTTGCCTTTTCTAAGGACAAGGCCTTAGATTTTAGACCTTCACTCACTCCATACCCCACATCTTCGTGGTATGACCCATCCTGAAGTAAAATTTAAAAAAAATACTAAGTGTAAAGGGAGTTTCTGCACTTGCAACACTCCCAGTTAGATGCTGTGCTTTCCTAAGCCAAATTACCTCCTCTAAGCTGGATGTATAGTACTCTTCTGAACCACAGTCTGGCCCGTGTGTGAATTTTCATTCACCACTTTAAGCAATCACAGAGCAAACAAAATGCCCTTACCTTAAGCTGAACTTTCACAAATGCACAGACCCCCACGTAGAACCTGCCATTGTTGAGATCAACAAAATCTGGGGAAAAAATAACAACATCCAGAGCACCGCAGAAGGCCTCTGATCCACATTTAGATCTTCTGCTCATACTTGCTGAACATAGCAAAGATACTATTTTGACTTGCATACATGCTCTGAGTACAATAACATGATACCTTCTCGTATAGACTTACAAAAACTTGGCAAACACTTGCACCCTGGTGTTAGGTACATCACCTTTAACATATGAAAGAAGAAGATGTAAATGTAACTTCTCATTCAG